CAGCTTTGGGAATGGGTCCTTAATTCTCACAGCTGGAAGCTGGGGCAGGGACTTGGGCTGGTAGTATTGAGAGTGGAGGACAATGATGACTGAGATTGGCAAGGTGGAATGTAGCCAAGATATTTCGCTGCCCTCAGAGACAATTTACATCCAATTAGTTGTAAGGAGGAAGGAGGCCTCATTTGGAGTTTAAGTTAAGTGTAATGGGTAAAGGACAGGTGTGGAAGTATCCCCTCTTCCCTAAGAAAAGAGGAAAGCACATCCCCCCCACACACACATGTGTACCACCACCACCACAACTATTACATTCCTCTTCACTAATTGAGAGCCCCAATAGCCGGAAACAGATGCAAAAATTGCAGAACTTTCTGATTCTGGGTCTCTGTGGCTTAGGCATTGCATGAAGATAGCCACCATTTCTCCTTGTCCTAAGACACTCCCCCACTACATTGCTGTGGAATTCATAGTTCCAAAAAACACTGCCCTGCATCCCTTCCAAAAATCAGTTTCTGGGTTCCTCTTCTCTGAACAATTTATTATGTTTTGGTTTTTGGTTGTTGTTGCTGTTTTTATTGAAGCTACTGCTGTTGTTTTAACCTAAATAGATGAGACATTAAATTCATTCACTACAAACATTGCAGGCAAAACTCTTTTTGCCATCCTCAAACACACCATTTAGCACTGGACACACATATGTGTCTATCTGCAGGTGCATGCTTGTGCTAGAGTGAATACACATACACATACACACACACTCATACTAGAGCAGAGGGAAACCCTTCAGTTTTATTTCATTTTAAATCAAACCATTCCCTTGAGTTTACACATAGAATGGATCTGACAATCAACAATCCCTGCTGTTTGGCTGAAGATATTCAATATACATGGTATTCACAAGGCATCTCCTGTCAGGATAGTCTGGAATGATACCTGATTTATTTAGGAGCTTGAATAAGTAATCATCTTGAAGAACTTCTCATCTTGTAGTAAATCAATATTTTTCTCTTCAGGATACGATCCTGTACTGGAAATCAGAAACTTAGAACCCTGTTGGGAATAGGTCTTTGGAATTTGTAAGTTCTAGAAATATAGGAATGTAGCCTGAGAGAGTAGATTAAGCACTGAACACACAGTCAGAAGACCCTAATTCCAGTGTTTTACCACTCAAGTACCAGTCCATAAATCACTTAATCCAATAAACATTTATTAAACATTCACTGTGTACAGGACATTGCACTAGACTCTAGGAAAAAGACAAACGAAATATTATATGTTCTCAAGGAGCTCATAGGGTTGTGAGGATAAAGTAAGGAAATAGGTATTTATATTGTGCCTACTATGTGCAAAGCACTCTGTTAAGAGCTTTATAAATATAATCTCATTTGATCTTCACAACAACCCTGAAAGGTAGGTGCTATTATGCTCTCCATTTTATAGGTGAGGAAACTGAGGCAAACAAAGGTTATCTGACTAGACCAGGGTCACACATCTAGTAAGTGTCTGAGGCCAGATTTGAACTGTCTTCCAAACTCCAGGCCCAGCACCCTATCTACCATACCACCTAGCTGCCTAAAATTATGTAATGTTTGTAATATATATAAATATATATATATAATATGTGCATATATATGCACAAACACATATATGTATGTGTATATATGTGTGTGTGTGTATATGTAGGTATATATTCACATATATACATGTGTGTGCATATATATATATATATATATATATAAAATATTTTCCTGGATTAAAGGAAATAGTATTAGTAAAGTGTTTTGCAAAACCTTAAAGCAGTCTATAAAATACTAGCTATTATTATTGTTATTATTGTTCTTATTACATTGTAAGTATGAACAAAGTAAGTACAAAGGGGAGATATAACATTAACAAGTAACTGGATGAGATGGTGGTTAAAGTCTCATTTAAGAGTTGGCACTTGAGCTGTGCTTTGAGAGAAGGTAACAATTCTAAAATGTAGAGGGGAGAAGACAGTGTGCCCTAGACCTATTGAAACAGCTGTCCAAAGCCTAGTTGAGCTTCAGTGGTAGCCAATGAAGTATAGTTTGTAAAGTAAGGATGAATTTGCACTACCTATCTCACAAGATTGTTATAAGGAACTTGATTTTGAAAGTGCTATGTAAATCTCAGCTATTTGGGTTTGGAAGGAAGCTCAAAATTATCTAGTTCTCTGCTAAACCTCCAGGCTAGCATCTTAAAAAATTTAAAAAGAGAGAGAGAGAGAGGAAAAAGTCCTGCTCTGATCATTCCCCACCACATAACATTAGAGCAGCAAGATGGATTGTTTTAACTTAATCTTAGTCCCTGTTTCTCTCCAAGATGAAGAAAAAAAATGAGTCTCTCCCCTGACACAAAGTCTTCTGACACATTTTTTGATAATCAGTTAGAATATCTGGATATCTTATTTGAACTGGGACATCTACCTTTCAATCAGTCCAGTGTTGAAATTCAAAGATGCCTCAGGTAAACCTCTAAGGTAATCTGCCTCTGCTATGCACTTTAGTCTCTTAATGAATCCTTATCTCCGATTCAGTGCAGAAAAAAAAAAGTTGGCAGATCTTAGTGTCATATCACAGTTCTGCCACTTTCTATCTGTGTGACCTTAGTCAAGTTAATTAACACTTCTAGACCTCAGTTTCCTCAGGAATATGGAGAGATTAGACTAGATGACTTCCACCATGGTCCTTTCTAGTATTAAATCCATCACTCCATGGTCTTTAGTAAATTAAGTTTAATTCAAAAAATAGTGATTAAGTACCTGGCAAGTACCAAGGCATTGTGGTGCATAGGTATTGGGGATGCAAAGACAAAATGAAAAATAGTTTCCTTTCCTCAAAGATCTTCAATGGGAGGAGGGACAGGCTTGATGTATACAGAAAATCTTGTACTTTCCCCAATTAACTACATCAAAGCAACTATTCTGACCAATATTTTGGGCTTCATACTGAGTAAAGTTCTACCTTACAGACATGAGATAAGGAAATACTTTTAGGTGTTTCTTGCTAGGAAAAAAATACTCATCAAATAGACTTTGTCTATTATGGGAAAAAATGTTGTTCAGTCATTTCAGTCCAACCCTTTGAGACCCCATTATCTTGGCAAAGATATTGGAGTAGTTTGCCATCTCCTTCTCCAGCTCATTTTATAGATGAGAAAATTGAGGCCAAAGAGGTCAAGTGACTTGCTCAGGGTCACACAGTTAGTAAGTGTTTAAGGCCAGATTTGAACTCAGGAAGGTAAATTTTCCTGACTCCAGACCCAGCACTCTATCTATTTGGCCATATAGATATATAATTTGTGATGAAAGGATTTCATATACACCCAAAACAGATAGAACTACTCCTTGAAAATATCTACACCTATAATTTGGTCAGATTTTTCCAAGAGTCACCTCTAGGTGAATGAAATGGCTTAGTACCACAAGTGAAACCAACAGATGATTTTTATATTTGTACAGAGATCATACAACTTATTCCCAGACAGGTTAACATTTTTATTATTGCTTCCCTGAGAAGTCGGTCAACAACCATTTATTAAACACCTACTGAGTGCTAAGCACTGTGTTGAGTTCTAGAGATACAAACCATGGTAAAAAAAAAAGGTTCCTGCCCTCAAAGAGATTACAATTTACTATGTCTAGTTCTTGATTTTCACATCTTCTAATTTTTGTAATTTTCACACTTTCTAATTTTTGTAATTCTTACTAGAATTGACCCACATCCCCAGTCCTAGAATTATGACCAAGACTTCATGGAGATATGGGAATATGCCACAGATATGCCATAACCATAGGCTAAGGCATGAAAGAATAATATTATGTATGCCATATGCGGGAAACATAGTATTCAAAAAAGTTTTTGTTTTCTTTCTACTCAAAACCACATGCTATCCTTCTTTAAGCATCTAATTGTCGTCAAACTGAATGTTTATTGGAAAGTTTGAAGGTCTTTTTCATGAGAATTCAGCAAGCTATCATTGCCTTCTTTGCCTGAATATCAACTACAGAAGTGACAAGTATAGAAGTGACTCCTCTATCTTGAAAAGATCACTCTGAAACTTCCAAGAATACATGGGGGGAGATTTGAGGTCTTTTAAAGCTCATTGAGCAATTAAAAGTATTTGGACAATATTTTAAGTAATTATATCCTGGAGAAAGGCTCCAGAAGAAAAGAGATTAAAAAACCTCTAAGATGAAGGATATAAAAATTATTTCCAAAATAGACATATAATGAGTTATATGTTAAGTGTTTGTAACTTATGGCAAAATTAAGATTGGAAACTGAAAATATTTAAAATCATGAATATGGTCAGTATCGTGTTTCTTCTAAGACACTTAGAAAACATCTTGGAATTCAGTTAGAATAGAGAAGGGAAGGAAAAGGGAAGGAGGGAAGAAAGGAGAGAAGGAAGAAAGAGAGGAAGAAGTAAAAGAAAGGAGAGAGACAAAGAGAAGGGAGAGGAGAGGGGAGAAAAAAGAGAAATAGTGAACATTGAGGAAAGAAAATTGAAAAAAGGAAAAGGTAAAAAAGAAAAGAAAGAAAAGAAGCTGGCAGACCAGTCAGTCGGATCAGTAAATAAAATTAAGAGTAACTTTGTTTGTTGCTGACTTCCAGAGAAATCTTTCCTGGATAGAAAGTCTATGGAGGAAGTCATTTGCGAGTTCCAGACTGAGACTTTCGAGCCAGACACTGAATAAAGCTTCCGAAACCAAAACCAACGAAAAGGGGAGTTGACTATCCCGAAGGAACTGTCAGTTCCAAAAACATAGTGTACTTGGGGAAGAAATAGGGTTCAGAATTTTTTTTTCTCCCTTTCATTAGCACGGGATATTTATTCCCTGAGCAGCATTCATTAACCAACAACCTTGTTTTCCTTTAGGAAGAGAGGATACATTTTATTACCTCCCTGCTTGCACTGCTTGCGGGCGGTAACCCTCAGGACCGACGGTCCCCTCTGCCAATTCCTCCACTGAGAGGGTGGGGGAGAAGGTGAGGACTGGAATTCCCCTGGAGACAAGACCAGGACGCCCGCCAGGGTAGGTTCTGGTTCTGGCCTGCACAGGATTCCAATAGGCTACAAAGAAGCACCAGCAAATAGCGGATATCTTAAGAGTCTACGAAAGAGATCTGATCATCTTGGGTAGGAGGAGCCGGTGCCCCCTCACAAACCTAATCAGGTTCCTAAACCAGTCCACAAGCCAGTGGCCAGTGGTGAGTATGAAACGCTCTGTGTTCAGGGACAATGGACGACAGGGGGCGCTAGACCTCTATTTTTAGCGGACAAGCCTTTTTCTTGGGGGCTGCAGAAAGAAATCTGCCCTGGAGATTGAACAAAGTTCCCAAAGAGCGCAGAGCTGGTGATGGTCTGTGCCTTCACTTCTGAGTTTTCTTTCTTACTTCTCTCCCGACTCTTTCTCTTTTCTAACTCATTGTCAGCATGGAAGGTAGGGAGGGGGTGGGGGAAGGGGAAGTTTCAAGAAGAGTTCCCAAAGGGAGCAGATGATTGATTTTGATAGTGGTAGGTGCTATTTGTGAAATCATTTTTTCAGACTAGGAGCCAGAAAGAAAAGGGTTTAGCAGTCAGTTTTTGGTAGTTCTATTATTCTTTTATAAGAGTGAATCTACTTTTGTTTCAAGTTTCTGATCATAGAAGTATAGTGTAACGTATAGAGAAACTTTGCCTTGGAGTTGAAGTCTTGATTCTAAGTGATCCAAACTGCACTAATTTCTCAGTACTCAGAGACAATTCTCTAATTTTAAATTACAGTGGAGTTGCCAAGTGTGAATATCTGGAAGGAGTTTCCTCAGGGACCACCCCCTAAACCAAAAAAATCACGGGATAGGAACTTATACATAACCGTACAAATACCTAATACACTTACTGAGAGTTATACATACATGTCCATGTTTATCTAGGTTTTCATCATAAGTGCATAAATACTATGTGATCTCATCGTTATTTATCCTTAACATACATAATGCCCCACTCCTTTTCTAAATTCTATGTAGAGGCCCTATGCTTTAAGAATAATACAGGCTGTCCCAAAAGCGTTAGTGCACCTTTAAGAGCTAGTGGCTTTCAAGTGCACTAAGATTTTTTGGGGTGTTCTGTACAGAGTTTTTTAAAAGTACGCTAAAAATTCCTGATGTGCGTTATTTCATTTGCTCCTCACAACCTAATGAGATAGTACTATTGTCTCGATTTTACAGAATAGAAAATTGAGACTCAGTGAAATTAGTGTCTTTCCCATGGTCCAGCAAGTGTCAGGGGCGAAATTTGGACCCAGCTCTGCCTTGACTCCGATTTCAGCATTATTTCCAGGAGAGCTCCTGGCTTTCACTCTTTAACCTCTAATAACTGTGAATAGTGGGAGTGTTGCTATCTGCTCTTTTTCTATTCTCTAGCCACCCACCCTAATGGGTCGCCTAGTGTGATGGTAATCACCGGCAGGGCCCCACTTCCCCTTTGGCACTCCCAGGCTTGGGGAAGAATGCCCAGTGCTAGGGCTCCAAGAGAGTCGGGTAACCGCACAACTTCAGAGGGGACCTTGGACTTCTCTGGGGCCAACGGATTGGCCCTCGCCTAGAGGCTCTCCTAGAAATGTGCGCAGATGTTCAAATACACTGGGCAAATTGCATTTGACTTAAATATTTCCGACTGCAAACTCGTCCTGTCGCAATGGTGTAGGTCCCAAGTTGACTGGGGTCTGTACATTGCAAGCGGGAGAGTGGCTGAGGGCGTGTGGGCTGAGCTGACGGGTATTTGTCCTTCTGCTTTTGCCGGCCACTTGGCTTAAGGGCTTTTCTCCGTGTGTTGTCCTCTTGTCCATCTTATTTCTGTTCATCTATATACACGGTCTATATCTATCAATCCCTCTTTTTGTCCGCCATCTGTCTGACTCTACCTCTGTTCAACCTACTACAATCTATATCATCGGTACTAGCGGTACACTTATATCAATCAGATGTCTCCCATTTCGTCTGTCTGCTGGCGTCTATCTCTTCACCTAATATTTTAACTGCCTATCACCTATTGATCTCCATTTGTCTTCGACTCTGGCAGGGACTGCAGAAATTGGCCGCGACGACTGTAGGCGGATTTTCAGACCTTGGGCTCTGGGAGGGGTGGATGTGAAAGCGGAGATTTATGAGGAGTCCCCACTCCCTCGGCTGGACTGTGTGGTCTGGGCTCCAAAGAATGAGTTTCCGTGGACTGGCTGAACTAGGCTGGTTCCTGCAACTCCAGGGCTGACTGTCTGACCTGGTAAATCTAGAGAATAGTTCGTAGTGCCAGGGGTCGACCGGAACAGAGAGAGCAAAGAAGGCGTGTGTGTGAGGGGGGTGTTTTTCTTTCTTTCACTCTCTCTTTTTAATCTCTGCTGGTTGGGAGGGAGGAGAGAATACCAGAGGGAAGAACATTCCTATGGCCCCAGTCTATTTCCGTGAGATTTGTTTGCTTATTTATTTATTTCTTCCCCTTGTCGGTTTGTTTTAGTTACGAAACGCTGTGGGTACCTTGGTTGTGACTGGGTAGTAACCTTGCAACAGGCTTTTCTGAATGTCAGAGACAGTCGACGATTCTAAAGCACTGAGACTTCTGCCTTTCTACCCAGCACCAGACCTTTTCCCTCGGCCTTCTGCAGCCGCCGGGTTCCGAGGCAAAAAATGTTCCCACCATGCACCATAAGTGGCTGCTTGGGGTCTTAATTGTAATAGGGAGGTCCCTCCAAGGAGCAGCAGCAGGAGAGTTAAAGGTGTGTAAACAGTTTTTCTAAATATGACAGGGCTTTGCAAATTTACTCCTTAGTCAGGTTGTTTTGACAGGGAATGATCGCTCAGAGCAAAGAAACCCGGAATAAATAAATCCAGGGTTTATAAGCAGCTTCTGAGAGAAGCCCCGGAGTCAGTCTCCGTGGCTGGCAAGCGCAAGCTAACTGTGCCAAGTAGCCTAGAGAAGCATGACCGTGGGACTGCTGCCCAGGAGCCAGATGCCAGATCCCAGGGGCCCTGGCCCCCCTTTCCCTCTACCTTACCCCTGTATTCACAACCAGCCTACAAATGGGGGGTGTGTGGAATGGGCAGTCAAAATCTCTCTCTCTCTCTCTCTCTCTCTCTCTCTCTCTCTCTCTCTCTCTCCTTTCTTCTCCCTCTCTCTCCTTCTCTTCTCTTCTCCTCCTTCCCCTTTCCTGCCTCTGAGATAATCTCCTTGTAGCTGGAATGGAGTGATGGCTATTCAGGCTGTCCCGTTTTTGCGAAGGGGCAGGTGTAGGGCAGGGGGGCAGAAGCTCTCAGCCTCACGCCTAGGTGTGAGCTGATTATTCAAATAGGCTGCCGGGGACCTGGGGATTGGAGGCCAGCCCCAGCACGCTGTGCTATATCACCAGGCACTAACGTCACTGCAGCACTCGTCCTCCTCCTCCTCTTTCTACACCTCCTCTTAGTCCTCCTCCTCCTCCTCCTGGTCGTCCTCCCCCTCTTCATGTGGAGGGTTTTCCGTCGCCTTAGGGCATCTTTTCATTGCTAGCCACTGCCACCCACCCAGGCAGCAGCAGAAAGAGCCTGGAGAACAGCAGCAGCAGCCTCAATACCTACAGCAGCACACTCTCCCCCCACCTCCGCCTTCCCCCTCCCCCTCGTCCTCCTCCTCTTCCTCCTTTCCCTCCTCCACCCTCCCTCCTAGCCCACCCCTCCCACCCCCTTCAAACCACCACCTCCGGCAGAGGGAGAAAGAGGGAGTTAACCAGAGAGAGAGAGAGTGTGTGTGTGTGTGAGGGAGAGGGAGGGGAGGGTGGCTTGCCTGTTTTTTTTTTTTTAAGGGGTGGGGTGGGGGGGGTGGTTGATTGCTCGTCGTTTGTTGTGGCTGTTAAATTTTAAACTGCCATGCACTCTGCTTCCAGTATGCTGGGAGCTGTGAAAATGGAAGGGCACGAGCACTCAGACTGGAGCAGCTACTATGGAGAGCCCGAGGTAAGAACTTGTCTCCTCTCTCACACTCTTTTCTTTTTTTTTTCTTCTTTTTTAGATTCAGTGGAGTGGTGGTAGTTTCTGGTGGTTGTTGACGGCAGCAGTTTCTCTCCCCAACTTCAGCGGCTGCCGCCACCACCACTACCCCCACCCCCAGTACAGCCTCCCCCACCCCCAACTTCTCGCTACAGCCTCCTTTTCCTCCCTCCTTAGGCTAAAATGGGTCTCTTTTTTATACGACACTGTGTTAGCCTTGAGATAATATTAACTTTGTGATCAAATATTGACTTGTGGCGCCTCCAAATCCTCTTCCGTGGCTGAGCCACACTATCCTAACAAAGTTGTGTTTGGCAGAGATCGGTTGGGGAGGGGGTGGGAGGGCGAATAAGGGGAGGGGAGGGGAAGGTGGGTAGTTGGAAGAGAAGAGGACTGAAAGAGGGATAGAAAAAGAAGAAAAAAGAAAGTTTAAGATTTCTAACCAGAGGAAGAGTTCGAATTCTCCACCGTACCCTGGATTAAGTGCAATTTGATTGTTTTCAGATTTGAATTATCTAGCTTCAGGCCCTGGGAGAGAGGTGGGAGGGAGGGGGAAGACTTCTGACTGCTTTTAAACCAGGTAACCCCAAGTCAGTGCTTCTGGTCCTAGCAGAGCGGCGTTTTGCAGGCTTCGGTTGCTGGGTGGCGAAATGGGATATTTTTTTTTCTAGATTCCAGTTAGAAGCCGGATTTTCTTGATGCTGTTCAATAAGTTTGGGACGGCTTTAAGAAGGAAAAGAAAAATGTTAAAAGACTTTTGAATGGGAAATAAAGATAATCTCTGTGCTAAATTTGGGGTGATTAGCCAGACCAACCCGAGGTGTAAAAAGCCTCTGGTCACTGCTCACAACTCCCACGCCTCCCTCCACACACCGCCTCCGGGATATCAAGGGACGCTTTGTGGGATGAAGTTGGTGGAGAGGCAGGTTGGGAGGTGGCTGCCCTAGGTAGTCGCCTAGAATTCTTCCAGGGCAGGAGGAGAGGAAAAGAGAAGAGAACGAACTGAACGTGGAAAGCTCACCGCCTAGTTGGCACTTTCCTTAGAGCCTTGGGGGTGGGGGGGAGGACCCTTCTAGTGCTTTGTGAGGGGCGGGGAAGAGAATAACGCCTGTGTGGTCCATGTCTGTGTTAATACTTTGCCTCCTTTCCCCCTCTCATTTTTTTTTTTATTTTTTATTCCTCCCTTCCCTGTTCTCTTTATCTCGCTCCCTCCCTGCCTTCCCCCGGTGTCTCCACAGGGCTATTCCTCGGTGAGCAATATGAATGCGGGCCTGGGCATGAACGGCATGAACACTTACATGAGTATGTCGGCTGCCATGGGCAGCAGCTCGGCCAACATGAGTGCCAGCTCCATGAATATGTCTTCTTACGTGGGAACTGGAATGAGTCCCTCCCTGGCAGGCATGTCCCCAGGGGCTGGGGCCATGGCAGGGATGGGGGGCACAGCTGCCCCAGGGGTTACGGGTATGGCTCCCCACCTGAGCCCCAGCATGAGTCCACTGGGGGGACAGGCCCCTGGGAGTATGAACAGCCTGGCTCCCTATGCCAACATGAACTCTATGAGTCCCATGTATGGGCAGGCCAGCCTCAACCGATCCAGGGACCCTAAGACTTACCGGCGGAGTTACACACATGCCAAGCCCCCCTATTCCTACATCTCCCTCATCACTATGGCCATTCAGCAAAGCCCCAACAAGATGCTGACACTTAGCGAGATCTACCAGTGGATCATGGACTTGTTCCCCTTCTACCGACAGAACCAGCAGCGCTGGCAGAATTCCATCCGCCACTCTCTCTCCTTCAATGACTGTTTTCTCAAGGTGCCCCGCTCACCAGACAAGCCCGGTAAGGGCTCCTTCTGGACCTTGCACCCAGATTCGGGTAACATGTTTGAGAATGGTTGCTACCTGCGTCGTCAGAAGCGCTTCAAATGCGAGAAACAGTTGGCACTGAAGGAGGGAGGGGGAGGCCCAGGGGGTGGAGGCAAGAAGCCAGGTGGAGGAAGTGGTGGAGCTGGAGGGCAGCAAGCACCACTAGGGGAGGGCAGTGGGGGTTTGCCCCCCACTAGCGGCTCTGACAGCTCTGCGGGCACAGAGTCCCCTCACTCCAGTGCCTCCCCCTGCCAAGAACACAAGCGAGGTGGTTTGGGGGAGCTGAAGGGCACCCCAGCAGCCCTGAGTCCTCCTGAACCTGCCCCATCCCCAGTCCAGCAGGCACACCTGCTGGGTCCACCCCACCACCCAGGCCTGCCCCCTGAGGCACACTTGAAGCCGGAACACCACTACGCCTTTAATCACCCCTTCTCCATTAACAATCTCATGTCATCTGAGCAACAGCATCACCACAGCCATCATCACCATCACCACCACCACAAAATGGACCTTAAGACCTATGAACAGGTGATGCACTACTCTGGCTACAGCTCCCCCATGCCTGGTAGCCTGGCCATGGGCCCCATTACGAACAAAGGGGGCTTAGAATCCTCGCCCCTGACTGGAGACGCAAGTTATTACCAAGGGGTATATTCTCGGCCCATTATGAACTCTTCCTAAAAGCTGGTGCTTGGGGGTGGGCAGCAGGACCTCTGCCTACAGAGGTGTGAAAAGAAGAGAAGGGATGGCTATGGACTTTCGGGAGAAGAAGGGTGGAGTTGGGGAATCAAGGCCATGTGTCCATATCTGCAGAGGACACTAGTTCCTGTCCACTAGCTTTTGACTCCCGAGTTCCTCATTGTTCTGTAGGGAAGAAAAGGAAAATGTTTTTAAAGTCTCCAGTTTTCCACTACTGTTTAGACACCCCCACTTCTCCCAGCATCATTTGAATTTTGATTTTTGTTGTTGTTGTTGTTGCAGGGAAGTCTTATCTTTTTTTTTCTTTGTGAGAGAGTGATGATAAAAAAAAGCTGATTTTGGTGTAAAAACTTGTAGTTTTAACTGAGAACCAAAAGATTGTGCCTGTTGTTTTGTTTAAAAAAAAAGAGGGAAAAAAAGGAAAATAGAAAAATTGAGGGTCTGTTGTAATTGACCCACCCCTCATTCATGTTCCTGGGAGAGTGAAATACAGTACTTGGCTCTGATTAATTTATGGTTCCTGTATGCTTTATTTATGGCTTATAAATGTGTATTCTGGTGATGAAGAGCCAGATTTTTCATAAATCTCTATTAAAGTGTTATTGTCAGTTTTCCCCACTGAATCTTTTCTTCAGATTTTATTCTTTCTCTCTCTCTCCCCCTCCCTCTTTTCACTACATTAAATAAAATTGAAAATTTTGGCATCCAGAGAAAAGTTTTAAAAATAATTGGAAAAGAGATGAGGGGCACCTTTTTAAGCCTGTAGTTCTATGGTATCTACGTCAATGCTCAGGTGGACACAGTACCCTGGCAGCCAAAAATGCTGACAACAGAAAAGACAATCACACTTATAGTATATTTGCCAGGAAATTGTTGGGGTATGTGTGTGTGTTTTTTAACGGGCCTAAGGCTATTTAAACACGAAGAAGCCACTAAGCACTAAATTGTGTGAACCTTTAAAACATTCTTAGATGGAAGGTTTCTTTCTTTCTTTCTTTCTTTTTTTGTTGTTGTTTTTTGTTGTTGTTGTTGTTGTTGTTTTTGCTCATCTCAGGACAGAAAAGAGAAATGCTCCAAAGTTTTAGACTATCTTATTTCCCAGTTCATTTATCACAAAGTTGGCTTGGCATATGTGGAGTTTTTAAAGTATGATTGGAAAATGGACTCCCCTACTCCTCCCCCTCACGGTCTCCCTATCCAAAGGAGTCCTTTTATTGGGAATGAAGCTAGTCAGATCTACCGAATGTCCACCTAGGTTAAAAAAAAAAATCCAAGGACCTTTGTAAAACCCTGACTCTCAGTCTTGCTGGCGCCAGGAGGAAATTTTGGAGCTTTCTCCACACACATCTCTTCCCTCCCTCCTATCCCTCCTACTCCACCTCCTCAATTCTTTAACTATCACAACCTTGGAAAGGATTGTCTAGTCTGGGAGGGGAGAGGTGACTGATATAAATCCTGTTTGCAATCCCTCAGACAATTAGCCTTGAGAAACCCCAGCACTGATTAGAGCAATTCTGATTGGAGTACAACAAATGGATGACTTTGATTTTTAAAGAAATTTTGAGGAATATCGAATAAAATCAACCTCCTTATGAGTAGATTAGGTGAGGGAGTGAGGAGGAGGTATTTGCCTACAAGCAACCTAAAAGATTTAAACAATCCTGTGGTCTCTGGATTTCACTTCGAACTCACCAGGCATCTCTGAGTGTGTGGTGGTGTGTTGGGGGTGGGGTGGAAGGGTATGAGGAGAAAGGGTACAGGAATTGACAAAATTACAATGACCAGAGTTTTTTTTTACCTCCTACCCTGGATGGCATCAGGTGCTTGGAATGGGTTTCAGAGTCTCTGGAGAGAGTGGGACTGTCTAGCAAGGATGGAGGAGGGTGGGAAGGTAGTAGGGTATTCTGTGTTCCTGGTTCCAGAAGTCCAAATGGATCACAATGAACAAATCCTTATAAATCTGCTCTGCTCCCTCTAGTCACACAGCCCTAGAAAACAAGGATTGACTATATTTTGAGCTACAAATAAGAGGAAACTATGCCCAGAACCTTTTTAACTCCCACCAGCTCATTTCTGCTAACTTTGGGCTGATGAAGGGAGAATTAGTCCTAAGAGGCATAATGGTTCTCTTCCAGAACCCCAAATCCCTTTGCTTTTAACTTGGAAACAAATAAAGGTAGGTGTTTCTGTGTTTTTCTACTGACATCCATACACCAGGGCTACCATTCTGGTATTAACCCAACTCAGGCCACAGCTTAGAGCTGGCTTTTGTCAGATCTCAGATGCTTATTCCTGTAACAGACAAGACAGCAAAGAGCCTGAGTAAGAAAGCTTTGTGTGATAATAATCACATGCATTAGTCTAATGATAAATACAGGACCAGAAGCAGCATTTGGAGTAATGAAGCACTGGACTTAAAGTGAAGAAGAGGAATTCAAATACAATCTTATCACTTGCTAGTTGTGTGACCCTGGACAAGTCATTTAACTTTTGAGGGGGCCTCACTTCTTTCATCTGGAATATGAGGGTAAAAATAGCTCTCACTTCCCTGCTTTGTTGTGAGAATCAAATGAGATGACATAAAGCGCTATGTGTCCTCGGTTATCAAGATTTGATCCCCTGAGCCAGTTTTAATTGGAAAGAAGCCAGACTTAGTAACTTTACTTTCTTAGACTAGTCAAAGGTAGGCCTTAGGTCAGTTTCCGAAAGGCTGTGCATCTCAGTCCCTAAGCCCAATTAAGTGTCTACCTCCGGAGTCAGAAAAAGAGAAGGCTCCGAGGCTGCACTCAAACCACTTTTTACGTTCCCACGCGTTTAAGGGGAGTCCTAGCTCTGCTGTCCCCCAAACCACCTTTAAATCCCTTCTTAACATGCTACATTGTCCTACCGAACAAGGAAGAAAAAAAATGTAAAAAGGAGGCTCTAGCCAGAAATCTGTCCTGTCTCTATATGGCAAGGACACACACGTTGTGAGCCAAAGCATAAAATGTGTTTCATTATCACATAAAAGGCTCCCGTGGCGAAGCAGCAGAGAGGCAGGGAATGGGGCTGATTTGGAAACAATGGGGCCTGAATGCGATGCTCTAACCTGCTATGTTCCATATCACAGGCCCATTGTTGGCTGGCCGTTTTAAACTACTTAGAGTTCTCCCCTCCACTGATCCCAGCAGATAAGATATAGTTCGACCCTAATACATAAAAAGGATGTCATTGGGGATGGCTCCCATAGAAGTTGAGCTCTTTCTGTCCCTGTTGTCTCCTTATTCACATCCTCCCCCCCCCACCTCCCTACACACCCACACACCCACATACCCATCTCCCCTTCCGTCTCTTCTCTTAGCTAGGACGCAATCCAAAATATCTCAAGGATCCAAAGACTTAAGGAAAATAATTTCAGCGCCCTTCCGCCCCCCCCCCAAAAATACTCCGTGTATTGTTTGGGGTTGAGTTTTTTCCCCCTCCAAATGCTTTCTGCCGCTGCCGGTTTAAGCAACCGTGATCTGTGAATAAACAAAGTCAGTAAACAACGAAAAAAAAAATCTAGATCCGAATTCCAGGAGGGTAAACTTTGCAGCCACGTCACACGTCAGCAAATTTGCACAGATATTATATTGCCTCCCCCCCTTTTTATTTTTTTTCGGAGCCCATTGTACTTAACTGAATTTTATAACGCTGATCGATATCTTGGTAAAATATTCATTTTTAAACTAGCGGGCAGCGAAATCTTTGCTTTGTGTGCTAAAGTCAACAGTCGCACAGTTCGGGCTCCAATAAATGCGGCGATGCTGCGGCTTGGAGCAGTCAGGGCGTCTCCCAATGCAAGACAGTCCTCGCCCGGACGTGGGCTGCGGAGGGCCCCGCACCAGGTAGGGATCGCGCCCACCTGCAGGGCCAGCTGAGCGCTCCAACGGGCGGCGCCCCTATTGGGAGCTGAATGGCCCCCACAACCTCTCCCCCTTCCGCCTACGCGGAGTGCCTCGGTTCTAGGGAGAACTGAGGGCCTTGAGGAGCTGGGACTTGTGAGGAGGGTGGTTGTAGGGAGCCTAAGGCTCAGAAGCCCCTTGAATTTGGGTAAGGAGAAGGGAGGAGAGGGCGCGCGTGGTGAAAAGGGGAAAAAATCCATTTCTTGCAAGAAAAGAAAAAGAAAAAGGTGGCTACTTGGATCCAAGCGCGATGAAAAAGTATCTAAAAGCAACCCCGAGATGGGAGGGAGCACCACTAGGAGCCGGGGAGGCCAGGGCTAAGCAAGCCGGTCTTTCTACTGGCTTGGGGAGACTCCAAAAGGGCAAGAAGTCCCTGCAGAGCAGGCCTGAGGCTGAGTTCTCAGAAAGACTTACCAAGAAAGGCACCGAAGTTAGATTGGGAGGGGCAAGAAGAAGGGAACTGATTTAGTTTCCAAAGTCAGAAAAAGCAAAGCCTCGGCAAGTCATAGACTAAGCAGGTTATGGTTGCTTGGTGGAAGGTAGCTTGAAATCAGGGACCAGTTGAGGGACAAAGGCGCCCCATCGTTCTGCTCAAATCGAGGTCCCTCGCCCCTCCCCTCTGCTCCCCGAACCCAAATCTACACTGCTGACTTTGTCTCGGGAGTCTTCGGTCAGTCCTGATCCCAGTTTCAGGGACGAGAAATACCTAATTTGGGGGGCGTATAGATACACTGAAACCCGAACTGAGGGAGTCCGGAGCCAAGAATAAATGTGTAGTGGAAAAAAACCCTACATTAGGAATTGGGAGAAGCAAGGTCTTCGCCTCGACGCTGCCCCTTAACTAGACATTTACTGCTGAGTTAATCACTTCACCTCTCTCTGGGCCTCGGTTTCCTCATCTGAAATATGAACAGGTTAGACTGGATTATCTTCGTCCTCTAACATTCTAGAGTTCTTTTTCACTGAGCCAAGTTATCAAGATTTTATAAGAGATTGTAGGATTCAGTGCACTCCCCCACCACTCCCTAATTTTCTCTCAACGCAAATAGGCTCAGTTTGGAAACTCCCTTTCCTCCTTTCGCCAGGTTATCAAGGGCCTGGGGCTTAAATAAAGTTCGACCATTTTCTGCAGCCCGCAGAAAGTTTGAGGGCACACCGACAGTATCTTCTTTTTTCGAATTCTCTTCCAACTAAAATAACATCACAGGCGATTCCTTTTTCTCTTCTCTCGCCTCACCGGCAACACCCAGGAGGAACAACTTCGTTAATACTGAAGGATTTTGGATCTGAATGGGGACAGGTGCCTGTTTTGTGATCACAAATGACACCCACAAATGCACATAGCAGGAGAGTTTTGCATAGTCTTGGATACTTCCCAAGTAATAAAGGGAGCCTGGAGAGGGTGATAGGTAGAACCAGTTACTGGGATGTCCGACTCTGGACTTGTTTGTTGTATTAGATCAAGTAAAGGAATTTTTTTTTTCTGTCTCATCGGTCCCATTAACGGCCTCTACCCCTACCCCACCCCGTCCCCTTCTCTCAGGTACTGCCACCTTCCAGCGCCTCAGATCATAGAGAGTTGGAGACGTGGCAGGCGCTGAGACTGGGGTTGGGGTGGGGTGTGGGGAGATTAGCTTTTCCTTCTAACCACTGGTGTGGAAAGAGTGGGTCTGTTCCTTATACCCCTCTGA